CAGTGTCCAGTCTACAAAGAGGAGAGTCAACACAGAGGAAACATTTCCTCCTTGCTTCTAAGCGAAGTCAGCCATGGTCAAGTAGGACCTTTGACTTATCGTCACATAGACAGAACTGGTAAAAGAAAGGAGCCAGGGGCTCCTCCCAAGCTCATGTGACCCCTGAGGAACAGATCCTCAAAAAACCTTAAGAGTTAAAAATGAATTGGTTTAGCTGGGTCAATTGTAGGGTCTTAAACACACAAAAGGACCAAGTATAACTAAAGATTTAAAGGGGCCAATATAATTTTTAAGAGTCCATATGTATAGCTAAAGGCTACATAACAAGAAACAATGCCAGACAGGAGATACCTTCCTTTGAGTTATTGGCCAGGGTGCCCCAAAAGACCCTCAGACAGTAACCCAGCATAGAATGGGGAAAATGAACAGCAGACCCCAATCTTATCTAAAGGAATATTGACAACTGATGGCTGCTAGATGAGGAACAGCTGATCCCCGTAAAACAAAGACCTCTAGAGAGGCTGACTAGATTCAGCAGATAGACAAGCACTGGTGAATGGCTGGGGGTGCCGGCAACATAGTAGACAGTAACAGGGATGACAGAATACATGGGCTCCAGTGGGGTGGGGGCAGGGGCTATGGGAGGTGCCATTTGGGAAGTGGGTATATAGATGAATAAGATTGTTTGGGATGTTCTATATCACACACAAAATCACACACACAAAAATCAACAAATTATAAAAAAATAAAAGACATTTGAGGAGGAAGCATAAAAATTTTCTTCATGTTAATTAGTAAAGGTGATAAACATTACCATTGAAATCTACCTGATGACTTCATATCCATACTCAGGTACCAAGGATCCACGGTTAACCAAGTGTGACTAGTAATAATCAGATACACAGAGATTAAAGACACATGTGCAAACATCTACACCTTAGTAGCATTGAAAAAAAAAAGAAAAACAAAAAAAAGTGTAGGAAACAGCATATTTTAAAGTGAAATGGAGATCTTCTTTAAAGGGTAAAAAATCATTCAATTTTATGTCTTACAGGGTTTAATACTGAGTTCAATACTGTATAACTGTATTAATTCAACTGTGAACCTAAAAAGTTACGGGCACTTTTGAAAGAGATGTATACTTGCTCTGGAAATTGTTACTGACTATGTCAAAGCTGTAATGAAATGTTTCTTCTAATCATGTGGTTATTAAATAAAAATAAAAATAAACAATTTTTAAAAGTTTTTTTTGACATCCATACTACTGTAAAAGAGCCATGCAGTCTATATGACAGACTATATGGAATCTCTACAATAATCAATTGTAACTAACCTGTAAAGAACAAATAATCTAACATCTTTTCAGTTATTATGGATCATGTAAAATAGGAACATTTCTGTATTAATTTAACAAGCCATGATAAATCCACCATTAGCCTGCAAAAAGTACTCGACCAATCTCACAATAATATAGAGGCAAGAAATGCTAAAAATATTTTGTCAAATATGTTTAATATATGAAAATACAGCAAACAAACATGCCATGTCTGTAATGAAAATTTGCACACCACGACTGGGCGGCTGCATTACAGCAGGCGAGGGATGGTTCATCATGATCAGGCAGCAACAAACTAAGGGAGAAGCCACACAATTGTATCAGTAGACAAAATGCAACAAACAGAACCAGGCAGTTTACAACGCTGGGGCTGGACAGATGGCTCGGCACTTAAGAGCACTGGCTGCTCTTGCAGAGTTAGATTTCCAGCACCCACCAGCTAACAACCATCCATAACTCCAGTTCCAGGGATGATACTTTCTGACCTCCTCAGGCATTGCATGACATGGGTACACTTACACACAGGCAGGCAATATATTCATACACATAAAAATAATAAATAAAATATTTTTAAATACAAACAGTAAATAGAACTGGAAAGTCTCTTTGGAAGTGATAGGATGCTTAAGTCATCTGAATTAAAAGCCTAGAACAGAAAAGTCTAGAACAGGACATGCCTTTAGCCTATCATCCTTACTGTTTTAGAGAATCTGTCAAATGCAGTATACCAAGAATATATCATTTCTATAAATACTGGAAAAAATATATTTTCATCTTTCCAAAATATTTGCAAAACTCAAAATTTAATTGACAATGTATTTTTGAAACAATAGACTTTCCTCCATACTAATCATACAGGTAGATATGGAAGGAAAACTCTGTAAAATGTGTCGAATCTAACAAAAAAAATTAAAATGTCCAAACTTTAGCCCCGACAAAACTTTATTCAGTATAACTCGGCCTATGAGTCCGGCGGGACGGCCTCAGTCTTGCATATTTGCCTGTGTGAGCTTCGTTTGTCCCACTTGTTGCCTGCAGCGTGCCTCCACGTGTTAAACTGCCGTCATGTACACCCAACTCAACATCAATCTCCTGATTTCTACCTCTACCTCTTATAGGCCATTTCCCTTTAGATAACTTCCTCTGGAGAGGAAAGACAGAAAAGATTGAAAAGAAGGGTCAAGGGGGAGGCAGAGCCGGGAGGCTGGGAGAAGGGAGGATGGTGCAGGACCTCTTGCCAAGGCTTCAGCCCAGCTATGGGGGAGCCCGTTTGTTCTTCCAGCTCCCTGTCTTTCCCCTCTCTAAGCTCTCATGGCACCCAGGATCTAACTACCCGGGTACATCTGCCCATTTCAGACTTAGACATCAAGGACGTCATAGCCTTGGAATCCAACATGCGGCCAAGCGCATTCCGCCGACAAAGCTCTGTAGAGCCTGTGTTTCAGGACGCTATGTTTGGCGGCCGTAGGGGGGAACTTCTGAGAGACTGGACCAGTAAGGTGGCCGATACCACCTACGAACGCAAGCTGAAGAGCCTCATGGAGAAGGGCACTGAGCCCAAAATAGAGAACGCCAAAATGCTGAAACCGGAGGAGGTGCTGAGCTGCCGGTGAGCATAGTCAGGATGTATGGCTAGGCCTAGGATGGTAGGTTGTGGGCAGGTGTGTAGACATGGAAGGGGCAGGCCTGGACAAGCAGGCCGTGGATGCACACAAGGACATGGGAGGGTTAGGCCTGGGGCTGCAGACTATGGACCCATGCCTGGACAAGGAGGGGACAAGCCTAGGGCAACAAGCTATGGACACATGTCTAGACATGGAGGGACAGGCACAGGGAGGCAGGCTGTGGACACATGTCTGGATGTGGAGGGGCAGGCTCAGCATGGCCTGTCTCTGGTCACAAAGGACAACTACAGGCTGAAGCCCTGAGTTTCCCAGCAGCTGCCACTGTCGGGGACTGTCTCAGCCAGGTCAAGAGCCATTTCCCTGCTGTGCTTCTGTGCAACCTTTCCATTTGATTCACACTGGAAAGCATGGGGATTGTTCCAACAGGAAAATATAGGCTGCCTGTGACTTGCTTTAACCAAGAAATTGCCCTAAGTTCCTTTTCTTTGATGAATTCAGGTGATATTGTTGCCATCCCCAGTGACCATCTGCTCTGTGCTTGGGATTTTAGACTCCCAAGAGGACCATTAACCATTTGGT